TCACCATTATCATAATCGCTGATAATAATATCAACTACTTATATATCAATATCGGCGGTTATTAATTAGTTTTCTCTATGTATTAATAATTACCGTTGTTATAATAGTAATAATGTTTATACCCTATCTAGAATACAGCGGAAATGAACCTTTTTATGGAGGCTATAGCTGTTGTTTTTATCGAGACGTGTTGCTTCTTTTTGTCACTAATGTTTTTACATGTGTGTTTCGACCATAGTGTCACATTTGTTAGTGTAAGGCGGGTAACAGTGAATGATGCCCGTGTTTTTTTTTGCATGGTTGTTGATGTCGACGATTAACTGAAATATGCAATGTACGATGTGTTACAATGTATTAGTCTCTGCCTGTTGTATATATATATATATACACACATGCACACAAACACCTACAGAGACGGTTCGTTCTCCGCAGCTGCCAATCCACTCGCCAGCGATAACGAATTAGATATTGCGCGTGAAAACAGACCAACATGATTCAATACAAGGCGTGACATATAATACACGAAAATGACACAAGAACACCGGAATTACAAGTGAGCACAGGCGTACACACCAATACCCACAAACAGTTCCGTTGACGCCACCTAATCAAAGAATATACTGGAGATACATGGTTATAGAATACCAGCGATCATTAACCGAGACTCGTAAACTGAAACAGCAACTCCACATTAACAGAAACCCGAAAATATAAGAAATTATTCTTGGCAATTTATATGTAGAAAATTCCGATATTCAATAATTAATTCTGCAAAATTCAAACTGTAATTTCAACCAAATCAAAACGTCTGGCTTAATTTTGTTCCTATTCTAAACTCGGTAGGTCGCAGCAGCTGTAGTGCGAAGAAGGTAAACCTTTTTTTTTGCTATTAGAAGTAGACTAACAATCGTACGCGCAGAATAAAACCACGTAGCTTATTGTGGGGCTCACAATCGAGGAGGTTGGCGGAAGACCAGCCCCCAAACCTTAGCAAGCAGCATATCTGACGGCCGTATAAATCTCTGCTTTCATCGAATTAATTTTTTATTTTTTTTTTTAAGTAATGACGGAAAAATTGCTTAGCCTGAGGCGTACGATAAAGTCTGCGCTAAAAATTTCAAAGAAAACGTATTCCTTGTAATTACCGATTCTTAATTAAACTGTGTAATATAACAATATGTTTCTGCTTCTGGCCTGCCCGTCTGTCTTAATGTACGCAGGTGATAAACGCGACACCACATTCGATGTACGTACTGCAGTAATCGTACGATTTGGTGGCGAACTCCTGTAGTATTTTGCGATATTAACGATAAGAACACCTGCTCTAATAACCTTTCCTTTCTTTTATACACCGGTATAATTTAACTCACCAGCGTTAAATAGACAGAGTGGAGTGCAAAGCGGTATTAGAGGTGCATCTTGCGCCCACTGCGTTCCGCTTATTAGTTACGCCCCTCCCGCCCAATCAGCTGCTGAGTCATTATCTAATTGCCACTAGTTGTATGATTGTATTACTGTTATTACCATATGATCATTTAATACATTTATCATCATTGTTGCTGCTGCTGTTGTTGTCTCTATTATATACGCGAATCGCTCGTATTTGCGATGTCGTAGCAGCAATTTTTGTAGAAATCGGTTTGTTCGTTGCATGTGTCTATGTATTTGTGTGTGTCCCTCTCTGCTGTGATGGACTGGCTGTATTCATATTCAACTCGCTGTTGTGTTCTTTTCGTCTCGTAAGTGTTGAAATTGCTCTCAGTCACTATTTAATTATTGACTAATATATATATATATATATATATAACAAAGGGAGGGGAGAAAAAGAAGGATGCTCACTTGACGAGGTATGAATGAGGGATGGGAAAATACCCTTATCATCATCATCATAAGCTGAGAGTAGACCCCATTAATAAATTGATAAATCAATTAGCCATAATTACTAGAATATCCCTTAGTCAAACAGTTGCTCGATCCGGATCCGCCACGATCTCGATAATCTAGATATTACTCATATGAATGCTTGCTGTTTGTTGTAGTTATTGTCGGTGATGCTGTTGTATATAAGGTCCTTATTTATAGTATATTCACCACATTCCGATCGTATGAATGTGCGTTGTATTCTATCCTATTATATCATTAAGTTTAACATTTATGTTTGTTACACAATGTTCTATGCAATCAGTTCTAGAGGCTTCGCTCGTTCGGGTTTATAGGCGTTGCGTTTTACAGCGCTGCGTTGTAGCACGACATAGCCAAACTCGGATCGACTTACTCGGTAAAAATACCATTAAGAAACCCTTAACTACGTCGGTTTGGCCCGGTGTGCTCGAAGGGGAGATCGCTGCACGTTCAGGTGAATGTCGAAGGAAAGCGGTGGCGTGTAGGTTCTCTTGGAGGGTCAGGAATAGACAAAAACAATTTTACGAGAAAAAACCGAACAAGAAAAAGGAGGAAATGAAACAAAGTGAAAACTAATTGGTACCGAAGCTACTACAATGCAAGTAACAATTACTGCACACGTCGTGCTACACTCAAGAAAGCTGGAGGTTAACTAGGTAATATATAGGATTGCAATTGGAATTTCCCGATATTGTTTTTGCTTGCACTTCTTACTCGTCTAACATTGTACCGTTTAATAGCGACGAGTAATATCGTCATTCTACGTCGCCTTGTTAACATCGGCACCAGTACACCGATGGTGTTCATCAAATTTCAAGACAGTGACGATCCTTGTGTTTTCCAGAGGCATGCATGTCCTTTCAGATAGAACCAAACAAAGATGTTCGTGATCATAGGACCAAAGAGTTTTCACCTTTACATGTTCTCATCTGCTTAAACGAAGGCCGGCAACGCCAAAGGCGTAACACTGTGGTAGAGAAGTGATTGTGTTAATGATGGAGAAGTGAGTTCTCATTAAGTGCAAGAACACGACAGCAAACCACGAAGCCAAAGGGTAAGGTTAGCCTTCGTGTTACCTTTGAGTGTCGTCGTGGCTAGCGCGCCATCCTACTGACCGCTGACAACAACGGGAAATATACAAGCACGCAAAACGGTGGACCTGATGCTAACGTTGCTGTTGCTTAAACTTTTGCTGTAGATGGAATAGGTGTCACGTTAAGCTTTTTTCACCGCTCCGCTGATCTGCTTAACAGACATATTGGTTGCTTGTTACTATTGATGTTGTTATTATTGATGTTGTTGTTGTTGTTGCTATGTTATCAACCAGCGGTCAATGTTGATGTCAACGAACGGTAGTAGGGTAGTGCCTTTGGGCCTCTTTTTTCTTCCCTCAGGCAAAAGCCGTTTTTGTCGCCAATGTCGACGCCTATCGAATTCCGCGTAGTTGAAGTAGTTCACATCCTTACCCTTTCGTTTCTCGTCACCAACCTCGTTATCGTTACCGTCACCGAAACTCATTTGTAGTCGCTAGTCTGACGCCTTTGCCAGGATCAGTTAGCCTGAAATTCGTCGAAAGCGGCAAGACAGGATGGAACGCATTACGACGCGTACGTTCGCGACAACAAAACAAGACATCGTTAGCGAATAGCGTGCGTGTTGGCAAGACGATTTCATAGGTTAAGGGCCCATGAAGAGAATATGTATGAGCCTGTGTTCGAATATAAGCTACAATTAACTAATTAAATACATTTAACTCGGATAATATGCCATACACATATTGGGCGCATTTGTGGTAGGATGATTTAATTTATAGCGCGCTGAAGCAGTTAGGAAGACGTCGCATCCAACTGAAAATACGTAACGCGTCTTACGGGCAAAAATTGACCTTGGTGTACACAATAGCATCAGCATCCCGAGTGTCCTGTTAATTTTTGTTGGCCTAAGCTGTTTAGCTTAAGAAACAAAGCGTTTTTGGCTCGGATACAGATTATCCGGATGTAACGTTAAGCTAGCTTACCATAGAAATCAGATGAGATTTTCGTTCAACTCAAAATGCTCGTTCAACTTGCGTATAACGGTGACTTGTACAGCTGCTTCAGCTTCGACTTAGCAATTTTTCGTTGCCACTTGTGACAATCGTCTCAAATGGTTGTTGTGTTTTATTTAGCCGCGGAAATAGCCGTACTTATAAAGTGGTCCGTATATATGTAATCGATATAACAATGCAATATGTCAGTCTTTGCTAGTTAAACACGTCCAGGGAAAACAATGGTTTGCCGACTATGACACTTCAATCTACTGCATTTAAATTCTCATATTTTAGGGACACTCCTTTAAATTCGTTGTGCATCGGCTGTTCTCTTGGAGTTTGACTCGATAATCCGTATGACACGATTCCGGATTCTCACTAATCAGATCCGTTGTTTCTAGCAGGATTCTTTCAACAACCCTTCTAGCACGCATGAGGACATTAAAAGCAATAATGATGTTCGTCGACGATTGTGCAAAGTATTCCGTGCTTCCGGATAGCGATCATTCAGACGCTCTGTTTGATAAACTATCCTACAGGCTTGCATACTACGTGAATACGAACATACATTTTACGCCGATCCAATTGACGGTCACATGCTCACCTGCAACGACTCGACGTTGGAAACAATGCCGAACTTCCCCTGTCCGTCATCAGCTATGTGATAAGTGTTGTCCTGACTGATCTGAAAAGACGACAGAAACAAATAATTCAGTCAATGTCGAATTTATCCATTAGGCAAATATTTTGATTACATATCGCAAGATATTGCGGTAGGGGGCAACGGTTTCGGATAAAAACAAAACCTAAGAGATGCAAAAATACGTTGTAATCTGTTGTTATAAACTAGCTAAAAATCACAGGAGAAGCACACTAAACAGGTAACAGGCAATGCCGTTATTCTTCGCAAAAAAGTCCATTTGAATTATCGCCTTTTCTTCCCCCACGCACTATTTTATAATTTTTATAATTGTAAAACGGCATAGCAGAGCTGAAGAAAGTTCGACTTCATTTTTCCCTCTCGATTTTGGTAGAAGCGCGTCTTTATAGAATTTCCGCAATCTTACACCAACACAGCTAAAGACTATTGGAAATCGTTTCTCCACTTTTCATTGTACAAATCTCTAAATAATGATAGTATATGTGGTCGATCCGTCAGCTAGAAGAGATGGTCTCAAGCAGCAGGGTCAATATTACCATCGACAGCAGCAGAAACAGCAACTACGCTCTTGCCACCGGCACTTTGTCAACGCGCTCTGTCCGCGCTCCTTCACTCCGAGGCCAAACAAACGAACTTGTTTCTCCCTCCGATGGATGGAAAGAATTCGTTTACCATCTGGCCATCAAGCCGGCCAGTCAGTCTTGCACCGCCAACTAAGCTTATCCTGTGAACACGAAGGTTTGCACAGTTTTCACATACTGATTGCTTGGGCTGCCACAACCTATCTATCTGGACAAGTCGACAGGCACCTAAGTCTGCCCACGTCACCCGGGCCAGTAAATACGACTGCGTTTACCAACAACCATTCACTGGTACACAAACGACAAAAGCAAGCGATAGTAGTGGGAAGGGATGATAGGCTTTAGAAAGAGATGTGGCGCTATCGATGGACAAACAGATAAACATACACACACATTTGCGTACCCTGGCAAACGCTGAAAGACGTCAAGACGACTAGCATCCACGTCGCTATGGCCGATTTGCAATAGACATGGCATCATCGTTCCATTCATTCATCCACGACGATTACTGCACCTACTATCGCAAAGATTCTAGTGTCGAATAATCTACTAGCTGATTTGTTTCCCGCCACAGCAAAAACAGGTTGTTCGATAGATCGCTGGCGGAAGTAACTTCCATTACCCTGCTATGATTAGCTCGAGCTTGGCATGGGTGTCATCGCCTAGTGCTTGCAATAAAGTCTATCCACAATAAAAATAACCACCAGGAGTAAAACAATATAGGAAAGAACGAAATTGTCATTTGGGAGCACTTGGAAGGGTCTAGGGCACAGTAGATCGGCAAACTGCAGAGAGAAAAGAGAACCCAACCAGATCTGTATGCGCCGAAGCACATGTGCAGCCAGCACATCCAGGTAAATCCTATATGGATAGAAATCTCTGTTTACAATGATGACTAACTGGCGATATTGAGCCAGTCAAAATTTATGACGAGTTTTCAGAGTTGAGAAGTAAAACTATTTGAGTTTCTTATAATCAGAAGAGTATTTCGCTGTCGATTACCCTTCGATCAGTTCCTATTCAAAGCGGTGAAGTGAAAAAGTCAACATTATCATTTAAAGATTTCGAAGCGTGAACACTCACATTTCGTTAACTTTCATTTTAATAAATTTCTGTGGCTTGACATTGCCACAGTGAACGATAAGCATTACAAGTTGGCCTATGAATCATAGGTTAATGAGAACAGCTAATTAACGTGATTTCAGGTGACCACAAAATGGGCTTGTGAAAGATAAGGCACCGCACGCTATAGCATGCTTAGAATACTCCGAAAACTATAAAACGTATTATAAATCCAACACATGTGACTGGCTACACGTGAACCTTGACTAAAACGAATGGTCACGACGACATGAACTGGCCCCTCTGCCATCATAAATTGAAAGGCATCGCATTCTTTCAAAACTGAATCGATTCATTCAGTAAAAAACACAGATTGTTTTTACTAAGATGCTTCTTTCTCTAAGGATCATATTAGGTCCTTCCGAACCATAATGTTTATATGTACATGTCAACAGGAAACACGGAGGTTTAGGCAAACAACACCCGCGTCCCTTGTGCTTTTGCATCTGTTATGCTTGCGCAGCGAAAACAGATTGCATATTTAGATTAATATAGTTAATTTTCGTGCTAACATTTTAAAACGATCACGAAAGTACATTTTTTTGTGCATCGTAATATATATGTATATAAAATAGTTACAATTCCGACCAATGGTACAATACGATATGCATGACCCTTATAATAACAAACACTAGTACCATTCTGCGTGATTACTAATGAAAGCTATCCACATACACATACCCAAATATATAGAATAGCTTATCTGCAAAATGCTCGAATTTAGCTGTTTCGTAACCTTCTGAGGTTATTGACCGAAAGAAATCAAGTTTCAATTGTTTTTCTTTTCTTTGAGCCACAGCCCTATACCATTATCGAACACCTAAAAGCAGATGATCAACGAATGATAGAGAAAGTAACTAAAAATCAGGGTGGAAGGTATGAGTTTGAATTTCATTCTTAAAAAAAGTCTACTCCTTATGACTCGATGGTCACTAGGGCGTTGTCTCAACTTCAAACAGTGGAATCAGGTTTGCGACTAGCGGTCTCCCATTTCTTTTCGTGGTAAAGCAACATTTACCGGAGACATAGCAAAGATACGACTAACGTCCATGAAAGAGATTCGATTACGATCGACGCGTGGTTCGTTCACCACCAGAAGAAGTAAGCAGTACAGGTGGTACGCGATGCAACCAATTTAGCAAGATCGCATGCGAGATTGAGCCAAAGCGGCTACGAATCACTGTCAGCTCTCTATTTCGTCGACACATTGGTCAGGAGCAGTGCTCGTCAGTGAAACAACAATAACAATTTTACAATAGGGGCGCTTCGCTAATTAGTATCGGTTGTAGTAAAAATGGCTCTTTCTTATTGTATTTTATATAGTAATAGTCCATTATATAATATTTTGTCACTAAACAATGTATTGACTTGTGGCCAACATTAAAGCATTCTGTAGCATCGGTCTAAATGGAAAAATTGAAATGTTTAGAGAATTTTTTTAAGATAAAAAAGGTTAAATATGTATTCAAGTACATCAAGTTGAACGAAGATTTCATAAGTTATTTCTGCCAGCTTTTAGGCATGAACTAGCTGAGTCGACTACCGTCAACACACAATTAGATAAAAACGGTTGTGATCTTAGCCGATAGGGATCTACGCAATTATGCGCCAATGGTAACTACCACTGCTTATCGTTTGGCTGCGTAATGTGTTATGAGTCGGTCTAATACGGGCTGAACTCCAATTAGCATTAATGGATATGACTAGAAACTGATGGTATTTGAGAAACATGGCCTTATTTCCAAACAATAAGATTTCCAGAGAATAAAGAGGTTTTGTCAAGGATTTTCGCCGTATTCATAAACACCAACAAAATACTCAATTTCTCTGCCAAGTATCATTACAAATATTGTAATTATACTATTTCCATCACTAAGTGTTGTTTAAGTGAATTTTAACTCTGTATTCTACCAGTAAGCCGTGACGACCGTAGGTAACAGTTACAGCTACAGTAGCATCATAGCCCCCAAGAAATCTCTCCTGAGCTACTAATTTTAGTAATAAAGTAGCTACTAATAAACACATTTTGATTTCGAGTAATTTATGCGAAAAACTCATGGCTGGCGCTCAAGTTAAATTAATATTAAGCAATCGCAACTGATTTCGTCAATGTATCATATCCATACTGGAACGAAAAACAGTTGTATTGACTCACTGCTCAAAATCTTTTCGATTGACGATGAACATTAGGGTCGTACGTGACGGTTGTACAAATGGTTTTAAAGGGATCTGACACGGCGTTTCTCTGCACATGCATTCAGTCAAATACACGCCGATGGCAAACCAACAGCCAAGTGAAGATCAGAAGATACTTAAGCAAAAATGCATTATATAATATTATTATCATCATCATCACCATTATTATACTACACTACCAAGCTACAGGGGGTTTATTATCTTTTGCAACTTTTTGTTCAAGCAGTTTTTAAGCCGAGATCAACGAGACAAGATCGAACTAACCGCTATGTCAGCAAATTATCAGCCTCTCGTAATCGTAAAGATTCGTTTTCGTCAACCTTAAAACGACGACTTTCAGTGATGTATTTTGCAGAATCATTTGAATCCAGGTCATTTCTACACTAACGAGTCTACTCACTTAAAAACTGGCCTTAGGTGTTGAGAGAGAATATGCTACAGGCAAACGTGCAATATTTTGAACTTCTCCGCCGTTATGAGCATGGGTCGAACCAGTCCAACAACACGGCAGGCGTCAATGAGGCAGTGCACCTAACCGCAAGGCCGTCATCGTAAGCTAAGACGTGCCCATAAACGCTAACTAAACGACGGCAGGGACGCAGGCCTGTAGGTCATCTATAGGTTACCATTACTAACTAGTATTAGGTGTCCAGTTAACGGTGCTTCGTGCGTGTGGCAGTTCTCAAAGTATCCTTCTATTGCTTCTCCATATTATCGAGAGACTGCAGAGCAAGATCACTATCACCTTTCTAAAAGCGTTGATTCTTCAGAAAAGGAAAGGTTTTTGAGTTTCACTCAAACTGAAATTGAATTTGGCGTCTATTCGCAAATGACCTATGGGACCGTGACATTTTGGAACACATAGTTTGCACAGGTGCCCCTTTCATTCAGACACACTAAAAATATGATGTTATGTAAACTGTGAGTGTAAGTTATTGTAAACGATATGTCGCTGCAGCTAAGACAAGGCTACGGCCAAAGACTTATGATTGACGTACGTTTCACTAAGCATTTGTCACGTCCATGCTTGCTTCAATCCAAGTAATGGCCTATATTGTTTATTCCATGGAACATGCGCCGACTGAATATTTAAAAATTAGTTTAGTTGACCGCAAGGACTAGTGCCTCTCTTTCCACATACACTGTTTAGGACAGTGAAAATGTTGTATTTTGTTGCGCTAGCTCTTCTGTAGCTCATTTAATCTAGCAGCCGTACGAAGCACTTCTATTCAAGTTTAAACTTATGATACTTATAGATGTTCTTTGATCGCCTAAAGACAGTCCAAAGATAAGTCACTCTGTTCGGCAACAGGCGGAAAGCAAGCTGGAGAAGACGTTAACGGACATTTGCTGTTAGCGTGTGCTTATGTGGTCCAGTTATATATTGCGCATTAGGCTATCACGAATTATGTAGGCTTAAAACGTACTTAAAGCAGATGCGCTCGAACAGGGGCGTAAACACGTCAAGGATAAACGTAACGACATATTGCGACGTGTATGACGCACGCATAAACAAATGGACTGCTAATACGATGTCTACAATATGCCTAAACGTAACTAAGCTTCACCAAGAAGTATGCTTTTGTCACTTCTTTGATATGCTACCTATAACGGTATGAAATGAATAACTCGTTCTGCATAAGGACATTTGGTTTACTGAACGCTTATAAGTAAATGACCTCGAAGTTCTCTTTAAGTAAATAACAATGAAGGTGGTCTCAGAGGTTCGATTTCAATCAGTCTCGGTGCGTAGAGAGCCCAGCCTACATTAAATCTGTCACTGTTTGGTCTCCCCTGACGTTCAACACATGTTCCAACCGCAGTTCTTGAACGGTTGCATGCACCATCATCGTTAATTATCCAATTTAACTAATCGATCGATATATCATAAATTAATTAGCGGTTATTGCTATTTACCTCCACAGTCTCAATGGTTTGCCCATCAGCGTCCTGGTAGATGATTTGCTCCTCGCCAGCAACAACCTCAACACCTTCACCGCCCACGCCGACCACCTCAACCTGTTCACCTTCATGGATTAGTTCGGTGGTCACCTCCTCAACGTAGCTGCCTCCAGCTTCCGCACCCCCATCTCCATCTCCGCTAGGTAGCATATGGTATTCCCGTTGGAGTTGCGCAGCCGCCGCGGAAGTTGGTGACAGCAGAACAGCTTCCTGGACAACAGCTCCTCCCACACCCTTGATGCCGCCGTTCACGCTGACAATCTGCTGTTGTCCGCCAGCAGTTGTAGTCGCCGTAACGTACATCTTTCCATTCGTGTAGATGTGCTGCGGCAACGCGATATGCGTATGGGTCCCGTGTGAGCTCGTTTCGACGTGCTCAACATGCTCGACGTGCTCCATGCTCACGTCTTGCTCAACTACCTGGCCCTCTTCGATGACGTACTCGTTCTGAACGCCAAGCATGTCCATCGTGTGTAGACTAGGCGAAGGCTCTCGGCTGACGCTCGATTGAGTTTCGGTCACGACGTTGATCACGTTACCAACCTGGCCGGCATGACCCGGCGAGGGCGGCGCCGAGCGTGCGGCATTGTACGGCGGAGGACGGAAACACGGCAAACCCCGTTGTCGCCTTCGTCGAAAGGCCTGATCAACGAGCTTCTCCTGTGATGACGGGTCGATCCGCCAAAAGGACCCCTTACCAGGCTCTTCCTGTGAACGCGCTACCTTCATGAAGTACCTGTTCAGCGAAAGATTATGCCGTATCGAGTTCTGCCAGCCCTTATCTGCTGTGCGATAGTACGGATAGTGCTTAGTGATGTACGAGTAGATTCCACTTAGCGTAAGCTGTTTGTCCGGTGCCGACGAGATAGCTTGAACGATCAATTGCGCATAACTGTATGGCGGTTTCTGGTCATCATTTGGCCCAGCAGGCACCGCTGACGGTAGGGCAGCCGCCGTGACCACACGTTCTACAGGCGGCGTACACTGTACGACGCGTTGGACAAGGCTCCCAACCACAATGCCTCCACCGCTTGCTGAGGGCCGGTATGGATGCGGATGAATTGTATGGACCGAGTGTACTGAGCCCATCAAACTACCGGAACGAGGCGATGTGGGACAAGAGTTCGCCGCCGAAATCGTTCCGGTTGGCGAGGGACACGGCGAGTGACCATCCGGAATCGAAATCCGCAACGGTTTGATGTCCTCATCAGGATGATTTGATACAGCTATAACATTATTACCACTTTCCTCTACCACGGGCTCGGTTACCACTGTCTGAATGATCTGTTCGGCCGCCACCTCAGCCATCTGCACGTCACCGCCAACTGTTGTGTGTACCGCTGCCCCTGCTAAGCCCGTGGCGTTAGCAGCGGCTGTCGCTACGGTGCCAATATGATGATCGCCAGCGCTACTCGTAGCCGCGGGGGACCCGTGTACGGTTGTTGCGCCACCAGATGAGCCTTCGAATAGCGACTGGAACATGATTTTGATACTCGTCGACGGGAAACGGAATACGCATTTCTTCGGAAGCTTCAACGGCGATGCACCCTTCCGTTGAAACACCCCGTCAACAAACACACCGTTTTTGCCATTGCAGATCATATAGAATTCGTTGCCCTCGTTGAAGATCTCGAGGTGGCGTCTCGAGATGAACGAAGAGTTGCCCATGGGTACGTCGACTTCACCGTGGGAAGAGTTGCGTCCGATGGCGATGAGCTTTTGCCGCACAAAATACTCGAACTCGCGCCCTTGGAGCCTGGCGATTGGGCTGCTCGCCGCCCTGTCCCTGTTCTGGCCACTCATTCTGGGGCCGCTGGCCGATCGCCGGCCCTGGGGCGCTCGGCCGGGGTTGCACACACGGACTAACAGTCGGGCCAATCTCGGATGGCGCCCTCGAAACGCCAAAACCGTCCAACTTGCTCGGGATTTAGGCCGCACAAAGTTTGTAAACAACTCAGCACTGTGTTGGTGGTGCCTCTCACTGTCTATGTTTTGTCGGTTCGCACACAGCACAGCTCACACGCACCCAATGTTGTTGGACAACGAAGGGGGAGTCGGCGCCCGCAATAGAAGCTTCAAGGCGAGGCGGTTGACCCGCCAAATTCAAATTCGACATGGAGTATAGCTTTGCAGTGAACTCACAGCGGTTAGATTTCATGATAACGATGTTACTGGTGTGATCTTTTATCGATGTTGCCCGCGCACTCAAGTGAATAAGGCTCTTCATAGAACTGACTATCTTGTTAGAGATTTGAATTTGTTAAATGTTTAGAAGCTGCAAAACAACTTTGTGCTGGCCCAAAACAAAAATAGAAGCTCACTCTCTCACACATCAATAATAATAATGGGAAGAGTGGACGAGGCATGTGTATCTACCCGTGCGCTGCTGAGTGTACGTATTTGTTAGTCTAACCGTGTGCAGAGGTATCTTCCTGTCGTTTATATCGTGTCTCTGTGTCTCTCAATGTGCATAAGATCAGGAGGAAACGCCGACACGAACGGCAGCAAAAAGCTGCGAAACACTGTGTGTACGGGGCGCCCGGGTAACAACGGGGTTGACCGGCTACCGACGAAAACAATATCTAGTCAGCTAACTGGCAGGGGCAACCACATAACTAGTTAGGGGGCATTGATATGTGGCAGTAAAGACCAAATAGCACCAACGCAGTTTAACGACAGCCAACACCAATCAGACACGTAATTTGTAACGTCAATTTCAGTATTTGATTAAACACAGTTTGCACTATACAGAGCGGGCACGAATGATTTAGAAGAGATAGTGAGAATAATGAATAGGTTTAATAAGAACGAAGTTGGTAATCTGTCTACTACGAAATGGAACTCCTGTCATTTCGTCTCGTCGTTAGTAGCATGTGAACCGGTGATAACAGTAATAATAATAATAATAAGAGCCGAACTGGCCGGGCCACTGCTAGCGGCTGCAGCGCTATACGTACCTTTCCTCAACTTGAAGATAAAAACATCTCGGTGCCAATAACAAAACAAATGTTTGTTTTTCGAATCAACCATCAACAGCAGCAGCGCCAAGCACCCAACGACACTTCAGAAGCGCGTGAGGTTGCTCCATAATATCATTAGTATTGCTCGCTAATCCATTAGCTAGCGTTTACTTAGTAAATTGTTATCGTGAAGGTGGATTGGTAACGTGGTTGCGTAGTAATTACTTAATTAGTTATGGTTAGTTGTTAGCGCAACAGAAGCATTGATTAACAGCATAACTATTTGTTAGTTCGATTAGCTCAGTTGTCAGCGTCACAACACGATCATGGGTTAGCGCTCCAGTTGCTTGTTGGCTCAATAATTAGTAAATAGTAAAAAAAAATTACTATTGAACGTAATTGCTGCCTTTACTAATCCCTTTCGTAACTATCACTTACTCAGCGTGGCGTGACTCTATTGATCAGGTTTGAGAATATTACGTAAGAGGTTTAGGTGTTGTGCTGACCATTGCGCCAACGTCACCGTTTACCGAACATTGCGCGTAGTTCCCCTGCTGTTTTCCGTGCGTCGCCTGCATACACATTCATACGAAACATGATTGACGGTTCGTATTTGTTTTTCTTTTATTTATTGAAAATGGCGCCTGTGCTGCGGCAATCCCAGTGGCAGTATGTCCGTGGCACGTTTGACGAAGGGGCCGCATGGCAGTACTACAATAGATAGCGTGGTGATATACAGACGTATGCATAAATACTCAGCGATTTAGCGATGCTCCGGTTCTCGGTGCTTCGGATGCTGAGCCACTGGGTGGCATTTTTAGCTCTGTGGCGGCTTGGCTGGTGGACGCGTTTTTTGTGCCTGCGCGTTAAAACGAAATAATAAAGTTAAATCAAGTAGGTTTATAGTGGGGATAGGTAAGAATGCACAGATGCGAAGTAATAGGATTTTTACGAAAAAGTAAAATAGGTTGTCAGTTCACACAGATACAGTTTTAACTGTAAGCCTGGTTTATAACAAGTGCAAGTTTAACACGTCTATAATTGTATTTCCACCTATTTACATTGAAAGCTAACACTTACCGCATCCTATATATATATATATATATATATATATATATATATATATATATATATAAAAAGAATGTAATGAGCAGCGCCAACTGTCGTGTTGCCACAGCATTGAACATTAAGTTGTTTTTGTGTGGTACAGTTTATTTCTGTGTATGCTCCTGGGCACGAGAACTTAAACAGGAGCTTGTGGGAGAGGGACTGGTCACGGAAAAAAGACAGAGAAGCGATGAGGTAATGAAGCGGCTTGGTTCAAACTTGATTTTTTGTGCAACGGTATTCTACCGATTGCGCGTGAGTCGCAGATCGCAGGATTCGTTCGAGGTCAGTGGTTTGGTATGGCAGATTATATTGTAATTTCTACCGGTGGCCAGGAAGTAGCACTTGTCAATCAGCTTATTCAACGTGACCCAGTGAAAGTTAGGCTTTCAATTGTGGCCCGGTCGGTGTACATACGCGAGAGGCAAGACCTTACTGACTAGCGGCAGTGTGTAACTATAGTTGTTGATAGCGCAGAGATTTTACTGAAGCCTGAGAGGTGGCATTGCCTGTGCTAATCTAACCGCAACGGACGTTTTATTGGAACGAAACGTTTTATAAAATCATGTTCTCGCATACCTCTACTGATTATATAATCAGTTGTAATCCATATCAGTGATTCATTTCCTTCAGAGTCAACCTCGGTTGTACAATTAACAAGTCCAAGTATTCGTAAATAAAAAGAAAACTACAGGTCGAGTGTTATACAAAAAGGGGCAATTCGAACCACAATTTGGAACCGAGCCAGATTAAGGGACGCGAACAGTTCTTGGCCTGTATGTACATTTCTGGTCGGCAAATTCACACATACAAACAGGCGAATTCAGAGGCTGTTATACATATTTGGTTGGTAGTAATTTAATGTATCCGTTTTTTTTACAACGCTGATAAAACTACTATATTTTGAACTATGTGGAGGTTAATCGAAATTCAGATCCCTTCGTCGTAATCGCGTTTCTTTCTTTGTAGCGTTGGTGAAAGCAGGTAGAGGCAGTGACATTATTATAAGCCACTAAGAATGAGTTGGGTCACTTCTCAAAATATTTTTATCAGTTAACCTTTGCATTACAACTTTCGGCTCTGGAGTCTCTCCATAAACTGCTACAGGAACAGTGAGGCTTATCTCCATATGGTAAACTGGTATCAGGCCCAGCATTTCAATTATTTATTAAGCGTTAACTAACTCTAAGATTAAGGTTTAGCAAATTTTTTTTCTTTTGTGCTATATAGCTCTATTACGGGCCTGGTGCAATGCTAATAAAGTTAATATATTATCTTATCGTCGTCGCCTTGCTACAACCTAAAACAGCGGGCGATAGGGAAATGTCTCCTCAGGTAAAAATGATAAGCAGCCATCAGTGATATTAAAGTGAATATTAATTTAGGGTTACTAGCAGAGAAATATATGAATTACGCGAGTGCCACTCTAGAAGATGCTGCCTAATGCTTCACACTACGGTAGCATATACCTGAAGATGAGATGGGGTTTTAGTTAACGAAATATATGTACTAATGTGTAAAAAATTAAGGCAGGCGCATTCGCTTTTCTTACAATTAGCTGGAATGCAGCTATTAGAAGGAACAGTGAATTTCTTTAGGCGCAAAGAAAAATACTGCAAAGCAAGTCATTATGCAATTAAAGTTTTACCTCATATCCATATAATGGTAATTTTATGGTTATTACTACATAATACGAATTGTCTTTACTCAAAAAGCGATTTAATAGCATATAATTGCAATTTTGAATTCCACGAAACGATTTAAAAGCTTTATATCGTCTGTGTGTGCTATTTATGAAGCCCTTGAAACGTCTGTTACTGTATCTCATTACAACAATGTTATGGATATCTCCGTCGCGAATCGGTCTTGCTATATCCTCAAGGTCAGCCCTCTTTTACAATTTCTTCGCCCTCGGTAATATATTTTGCGTGCAAGCGGAATACATAGATGAAAAAAGGTGAACCCTATCAGCAACCTTATTGCGAATCTTGTCTCCAAAAAAAGGTAACGACATTGATAATCCTCTAAGTTTCAGGCGGGAAAGGTTTCTTCCGCCGCTCTTCCTAGGTTTCAAGAAGTGTTTATTTTTACTGTAGGTTACGCCCAAACAAATAGAATACACGTATCGCTAATATCTTTATCAAATTCATAGAAACACAATACACCAGTGTGGTTTCCAAATATTTCGTGCGTCCTTATACATATTTGATTTTGAAACCCGAGTTGCTATGGTAAAGTTTAATAGTTTTTCCTAAGGCATCATAAGGTTTCGGCAGTTCTAATGTTTTTTTTCTAGCGCGGTACATTAACAATTAACCGTGACCAAAATCAGCACTTACGTTTAAACAGTAAAATCTATATAAAGCAAATCGGCGTGGTGGCTGCGTCTGTTAAATTACTGACTGACAAAAATGAAAAGTGGCTGTTTCGATGGCCGGAATTTCACGTATAAATATATGGGATGGGTGATTCACAGAGTAAAATGGCGAATCAGTAACAAACAGTCGACGAACCGCAAGCTTGTATTAGGTACAGAGTTACGATCACATGGTGTCTGTCACTTAATCTGTGCAGTGACAAGTAGGTCCGATTACATTTACAACATGCACACTTACAGATAGAGAAATTCAGGGACTTGTTTCTTTCGTACACATGATTTATTCTAAGCATACAGACCAGATGTTACCGAGCACTGTTTTCCGATCTAACTTGAAGCAAGCTCAGACTTACGTGGCCCTCACCGACTGAACCTTTCTTCTATTGGCCTATTCCTTTATTTTCGTTAAGTCGTGATAGTTATATTCCTATACTTCTATTTAAGAAAAGACACATTCCATTGTCAACGTCCCCAACGAAGTGATTAAAGATTTCTGTGGTTCTCGCTGCAGTCCGTTACCCTGTTCTAGTTATTCAATCACACTGTTATTCAGAAAACCATCCCAAGAATGGTAAGTTTTATTATTTTTAGCATAAAAGCAATTTTTTCCGGACATGTTTAGTAATAGTGTTTCTTCGTCGGGTCAAGCTTACGCGAAACAAAAATATAAAAATACACCTGCTTTCAGGATAACGGTGCAGCTTTCAATGAGTATCTACCTACAAAATTGTATCCATAATGTCAGTTCCTGCTAGATGCACATAGACATTATGGGCAGTATCGGCGTTTTCAAACGAAATGGTATTGAATAAGAATGAAAACGGCTAAAATACTTTATAACATTTTTAGGGATGAAAACGGCCAAAAAATATTTAATAAAATTTTAGCCGTTTTCATCTAACAGTGTTTCTGTCGGTTTGTTTGTCAGGGAAACCTATTAATATACCGAATCGTAAAATGCACCTCTATATTGTAAAAGCACAATAAGTAATGTGCTTTAAGTAAATAACGCCATAGTTACAATACAGTAATTAAATAAGAATTTATTATCACATAGCAAATACACATTGTATATTCGTATATAAATATATCTATATAAAATATATACACCCCTCGCCTGTAAATATATACACAATTCCATGGCGTTCATGTATGTACGCGGATAACCAGTAATTGGTCGAACCCATACATCCAACTGAGCTTCGATATCGAAACAAACGTTTCCAAGCGCCTCAGTTATACATTGGAGAGCTGTCGCCATAATTAGGCGCCTTTTCGTTCCGTAATCAATACAGTCCCTAGTCCCTACATCGTTTTTAACCCCTACAAATGATTTAATTCGGAAACTCGATATATCTTAATTGATCAAAACCCTATTGGTAAATATTCACTACTTAACGGCCCATTTCACAGCGGCTTGAGCACTCTGATCTTCGAGGATCGCATCGGAGACAACGGCGCGGCATTTATAGCTTGAAACAGATCGTTGTATTCCGTGAAGACACCGCTGTATGGCTACGAGAACACTTTCCGATACTGGACGATGTTGCATATATAATTTCAGTTCCTCAGCTCTGAAATTTGATTAAGGTTGAATGGTACCAGGCAAATATTTTATAAAATTAGCCTGAATGACGTTTTTTTTCGTGGCTGAATTACTTCTTTTTGGTTATCTTTCTGTTAATATAGCAAGAACTTTCACCCGATTATATGAAAATAAACGCATGTTCTGATTTTTAAGTATGTTCTTATTCTTTTTTTTCTACCTGTTAACCACGGATGTAATCGTGGACTTTGTCTGCGCAGGCAATCCATCTTGACAATTTTTGAAGATGCTTCTGTAGCCAGGGAGAGTTTCACTCGATGGCAAGTTGAGTCGAGCTCCACTCAAGTTATCCGGGTCGATGTCATGGTTGATGTGCGTCGGTGAACCCGATACATACATGACGCCTTTCTCGTCAGTAAACACACGAAGATGTGCTGTACAATACGGAACCTATTGTAGAATCAAATTTAACAGTAGGATGCAGTGCACACCTTAAAAATCGTATGTTAAGAAAAAAGGAATATTCTTTTCCGGCCGCATTATTGATTCGCGAAGTTAAGATGGAAAATGCTAAAGCTCAAGGCAAAGGATAACTCGAAACTGCTTACACAGCAGGATAAAAAATAATTCTAACTATACAGTACTTCCAGTAAACTTACATAATCGTACAGCCAATTGTACTTGATTTATTCTGTGAGCTCACGTCGAACAGACATTGTTAACGTACCTTATTTGCGACGGATCTTCGTGAACGCATTGTGAGTTCATTCCGATCGACAGTTTCGGCTTGCCGCATTTTGTAGCTCATGAATTCGTGGCTGCAGTGGTAAATACGACCGGTTCGACCATCCTGTGACTTTCGACCTCCATTGTGTGCCACGTAACTGGTGGTATAGTGGACCTGCCAAATCAACACGCAATCATTAGAAATACATACATTCTGTACTACCCAACAATGGTAATTCGCAAAACATATTCGGACCTCTCAACCTTGTTCTTGCATCCTAATCACACCAACCCAGGTTCCATTTACAGAACGTTAACTACAATGGCATTGCTCTTTAATTAAATCATCAAAAAAAACTTTGAAAATTAAAACAATATAGAAAGCGTGTTGATTGAAAATTATTCAGTAAAATTCCTTCCCTTTGCAGAAAATACCAACAACATACGTCGTATCAAAACTCTCAATCAATTCGCCCTAGCGCGGCTAAGGTTCAAACATAAATGTAGAAACAGATACTTTACTTACCTTAATATCTTCCAACCAACGTGCGTAGGCCTCTTTGTTGGTAAAAGTGATGTTGAACAGTACAACTTCGAGATCATGATTGTGGGCGAGATGTAGGAGAAGTTCATGCCTTGAGAAGAATCGAGAGTCACATTCAGGACATTTGCCTTTGACGCCCTGCGGTTTCGCCCGGAAGAGGTTGCTATCCGCTTCATGGGCACGTCGCAAATGTCGATAGAAATTGCTCCGTTTGCTAAATGTTGCTTTGCATAACTCACACACGACGAAGGTACCTTGTGCGCCACCAGATGCTGTAGTGTTCTTGTTTACCAATGACGAGTGGGATTCGTTTGTCGTGCTGCCAGAACCTGACACATGTGTGACTGGTAGAACAGGTGAGGGCGGACAGACTAGTGGCGAAACTCCAACGACGCCCTCTAACGGAGCTGAGCTTGGCGGCCGAATAACATCAACGTGCGTAGTTACCGAACCATCAAGCTCCATGAACTCTTCTGGCTGATAAGTGAGATGACGTTGAAAATTAGGTTGAAAGCACGGGCAAGAGTGGAAACGTTTCGAGACAAATGAACAAAGGACATAAAAGCTGTTTGTTGAAAGCAACACGTAACGGCAGTATCAGACGTAAAATTCGATAACATTAGTCATTCATTTTAGTCTAAAGACCTAGCTGGATACATCTGGTTACTGATGTCCTATTAAGACATTTAAACTCTCGGTATGTCTCAGTTTGTATTTTATATCTACACACCTCAATTTCCCTGGTGAGCTCGCTATCATCAGTATCATCTTCAAGTACATTGACTAGGGTGAGTTCGCCTGCACGCTCAACCGGCACCAACTTTTGCTGGGTGATTACATCGACAAACATCTGCTGACCGCCAGCGCTTTCGATCATCGAGTACGTACGGCCGTTGATGACCACTTCTTTCGATGACGTATCCGAGCCATTTAAGAGTTCATCGCCAAGTGACGGTATTTCGAGGATTGCAGCTGTATAATCGTCAAAGAAAAAAGATCAAACAATTACTAAGCCTTGTTAATTACTAGTATTCTAAATGAATTTATGTGTATACTATGCCACAGAAGAAGAACCCAAGTACGTAGAACGTAGTTCGCAAAACGACGAAACTTCATCTACATTATGCGTAACTTAAGGGGCACATTACTAAAGAATCATTTTAGTTTAAATTTAGTGGGTATCTCTCACGTTTCTTTTTGCGTTTTATTCACCCCCCTGCAATGTGTACAGCGCTGCTAACAAAAAGAAAGGCTCAAGTCCGCTTTCAACATCTCTGGTTCGTACATATAGCGTAGCTGTCAACACTTATGAAAGTGCGCGTATTAAATATCGCTGCAACGTGACACTTACTTGCATTGAGAAAATGTAATTTCTCATCAATCGATACAAACGTTGCATTACTGAGTCATTTCAAATACCTCTGCCCAGATCTTCAACAATTTTAGTCAACAACCGTAAAGAGAAAGGCAGTATACTAACTGGCAGTGGTCGTCGCTGGGGTAAGCCTGGAGCACGTAGATGTCGGAGGCAGAACCGTTGTCACGGCTGTGTTATCCCCGCTGTTATCGATGAGTAGTGTCTCAGTAGTTGAAGGCGTATGCACAGCTTCGTATTTGACGCTGATGATATTACTCGCATTTGACTGCTGCTGTTGCTGCGGTTGAGCTGAGGAGGTCTGGGACCTAGGGGTGACACGCCGAACTCGAGCCGCTGGAGGCGCGAGCGTGTTCACAGTCTCAGTTGAACGTTGTACCAAGACCACCTACACAAACGTGGAGAGGACATTATCATAGAATAAAGGTACCTAAAAAGCAAAAAAATCTTATAAAGGAAAAGGCAAAAATGTTGTGCACTCAGTTGTTGCTAGTAATAGTTAAGCTACTGTATTATGTAAACATACACTTGAAGAGAGATGTACTTTCGTTGTATTGCTTACAAACTGTTTGAGTTCTATGAAAGGACTAGATTCTTGCAGTTGTAGTTATTGTCGCTAGTGATTTAACTAATTAATAAAGCCAAATATTTAGCTATTTACATTAAATGTGTGAGAAGAACAGGGCGCTTTTTATAGCTACACGAAAGCTTGGGATCGCATAGGATTGAAAATTGCAGTTTACTTGTGACCGTCGAATAAGAAATACACCATGTTAAAGGAGCGACAATTTATGCTTGATATACGCTTTATATTTGCAAATGTCTCCTGTTCCAAATTGTCGTATGTTATTTTTCTGGTCCATCTAAAGATCCAGTGAATCTCAGTATGAACATGCATTCTCATAAGGAGTCGAACTACTGTCTTTCAATGAATGTAGTGTATGGTAAATAATTCATGAACATGTTTTAACACAGTGATAATTATAGACAAAAAAACACAAAACAGGAAACACAAGAATATGATACAGACCTATTAACTACGAAGGTGACTCTATCATTAAGGATTCTTTTACCAATTCTATTATTTTCGTAACTTTACCAGGCCTACCAGGGAATAAAACCTGATATAGTAGCAACTTAGTTTAAATAATATATTGGAACAAGCTTATAAATACCAAAATGAAACTAGTCTAAGAAACTATTTTTTGTTGTTTGTAACAAAACTTCTATCAGCCTCGTGTCACAGTAGATAGGCTCGTAGACAGGCTTTTTTTGAAATGCATAAGCGAACTGTATCGCGTTCTGCGTGACCGTGTACGCAAGTGACAGTCTTTCGGATTGTTTAGCGGGGCACTTTTAACAACAATTTGGTATAAAGACATATGAAACCTCAGTTAACTTGTGCTTGCTATGACGCACACACGTGCTCGAGCTTACTTAGCAGACGAACGAAAGGATTTCACTAACAGAAGCACATGACAGAATTTGTTAACTAATAATAAATACTATAATATAAATTAACTGTATGAATTTCTATTATATACATGCTATAAAGGTGAAATTCAACCTAGTAGTCTTGATTTGCGCTTATTTCTGGCCAAAAGCAGAGATTTATTATTAATAAATTGCTGTTTTTTTTATAAAACCGTCTTTGAAATTGGGTGTGTTTTACTCGGGCAATTAAATTGTTTAAAATGAGCTTGGTGTATTTCTCTTGTGTAAATCAGATATAATATGGACGAAAAGACTGGCCGCCAAAGCCTATAGTAAATCTGTATGAGGCTCAAAAATGAAGTTTGTTATTCTTATTCGATATACTAATTTGCTAGGAGTTTTCCGGAATTCGTGAGCTTTGATTTTCGAAAGTGGGTGTTTTAGATGCTTATAAAAGACAATGTGTGTTTTATTAATATTTTACGGCTGCTATAGCAATTTGTTATAGCGTACGCGAACCTTTTTAATTCCTGATTGAATAACACCATACCTTCAAATAGCTGCATGTTCTTCAATTCCTATTCAAGGCTATTTTTTGAAAAACGAAACAGGCCATTCAAAGTCCTTACTTCATGATCTGTGATTTTGCGTGCGAGTGAACAATTACCCGATAGGTAACTATACGATACTGTCCGCATTTCATCTTCAAGATCACAAGAAGACTAATCGATACGAATCACTTAAGTATATTGGCTTACTTATGACTTCTTGTATTCACTTATATTATACCTCAAACCAATTCAAACCAAAAAATGTAAGAGTCAAAAAAGTTGGTATTTTTTTACCGTGCCGTAGAAAAGGTAATATCTATACTCTCTATATATTTACTTCGTGCTTTTGTTCGGCCTGTTAATAACATACTGACTAAGAAAGGCATAACAACCATTCAGTTAATTTTACACTTCGCTATTCTCGGTCATGGAAACACTTTTTGTTATAAGTAGTAGTAATAACAGCAGGTGCGAGTGTACGAAATATTTTCAATGCTCCTGAACAGCGCAAACTTGTATCTTCTCAATATTTTTGTACGTCCTTAAAGAGGTAAGTATTTGTTGCAAAACTTGAGAATTTTCTAGCCGATTGACACAAAGCAATGCTGACTATGCGATCATGCTGTGGGGAGACGTCATCTAACGATAATTTACAAATATCTATTGAGTACGACCTAATGCACAACGTCAAATTCTAATTGCATCACTCGTTTTGTTTTTACTCTGCTGATTTTTCGCCAACAACTTTTTGGCTATTATCATACACGACTGTTATTTATGTTATTGTTGCTGTTGCCATCAGCACTACAATCATCATCATCAGCAGCATCATAGATCTCATCAACGATATGCTTGTCACCACCATACCTTCGTTTTAGGGGGCTGCTGACTGAGAGCTGGAGGTGGGTGAACTAGCCGAACTTTCCGGCCAATTACCTGCACCGTAGTCCGATCGGCCATGGCCCAATTAGCCGTTCGAACTACCAGACTGCCAGGCGCCCTGTTTCGACCCTAATGACGACCCGAAATACGGGCCGACAAATACGGAAGTGTCCCAAGACAGGCTTGCTGGGTTCACTAGCTGAGAGGAGGAGACAGGGCCTAGAGTGTAGAGCTTCTGTCCGGACAGACCGCGGATTCGATTCAGTTGCCGCCACGAATTGATTCAATCCAGAGATTCACGATCGGCCTCTACACACAGTAGAACGGGCCGTAGTAGCCACAACACAACAGCGAATAGAAGCAGTAGGAAGCCACAATCCACAGATTTCGTAGCCAGCATGAACGCATGAGCTAGCCGCTAACGGCATTGGAGGCCATTAGCTGGGGTATCCACGCGGCTGCTTAACCAAGCAGCGGGAGTGACAGACAGAGCGACTTCATAGCAGCGATTGGAACGACAGCACTAGGCGGGCCTGTACACAACACATTAGTGGCACAGACGAGCACGCTCCATCGGACATATACAGACCGAGAAGCTTAGCCGTACGGCACCATTAACAAGTGAAGTATTTCTCACGTAGAGACAACGCAGACACTTCGTTGAAAGGCTTTGGTCAGGTATGTCGCAGACGAACCGAGGGTACATCAACAAAGGCGCTTCTAGCAACAGTAAATGGAACTGAAAGGTTAGCGTTCTTTCGGGCCAGTCGCAAGGATTCAGCTGTGTAGGCGAGCAGGTAGGCGTTTCAAAAGTAAATAATGCCACACCATCAAATGATGCCATTTTCGAGGGAGAGATATGGTAATAAGCGACGTTTTTTAACCGAATGTGTACGATTCTGCTATAGGAAGAATGTTCATCTACTAATGAGACATCATTCTCATAGAGACAGTTGCCCATACAGCGGTGCTATCTTGACGTGAAAATCTTTGCTAATTTTATTACATATTTTGAAAAGTATGCGCCCGCCCTTTGTTATGCAATAAAAACAAGATGTATCAGCTTCGAAGTTGTCCCTTTCCCAAATGCTGTCTATACAGGAGCAGCAACCCTAGGCACGATGCAGCAAATCCTAGAACGAGCAATTGCAGTCGTTTGTGTCGAAGAGTTTTTGTTGGCCAACGTTAAACTTTTTAACCAATATCAATGACAATATAACATAAAAATAATAATAGACCAAACTTAATCTAAGTTGTGATAAAAACAGTGCCTAAACCATTTTACATGCTTATTTACACAAGATGTACTAATAGAGATCCGAATGTGATACGAATACTAGCATAAAGCTACCAGTGCACAGTTGTTCCAAAGTCGTGTATACAGAGTCTCAATAAACATGGAATTAACCCGCGAAGGAGCGCAGCTTATAACTAGAGATTCTAGTGGCAGTTTATTTACATGTCAGTAATCTGACGTAGCCAGGAAAATCAGGTTCTGATTTGCGTGTAGGAACAAGAACGACCGTCTTTATTAATTAGCAGCATTACTGACTAGCAATTAGCAAAGTTGCGTTCAATGCACAATACGATTCACTTTAACATTTGCTTTCTTGAATATTCTTGAATTATACGGTTGAATATGTGTGTCCTGTATAATACATATGGTCCTGATGACATCAGACTAGCCGACTCCGATGAAAAATCCGTCTGTAGAAGTATTACTGACTTAGTGATCGGAATGCAGGGTGCCAGAGATTTCCATAAATACTTCATCTGTTTCGCAGCAGATCGCACTTACACTATCCATCTAAAGTAGCCCGAGTATATATATATATATATATATATATATATACAGATACATATCTTTTAGTTAGTAAACTTAACTGATGCGTAGTGGGATGCAATTTCTATGTAGGCCGTACGATTTGGTGATTAAAGTAATAGTATGCAGTGGAATACCGTCCTGGAATTTTACAATCATATTTTAAATAAAATGTTCTATGTAGATCTCGGAATTCAATTTCTCGAAAAATTGAATTCTTTCTACAGTGTCATATATGTCTACCTATATAATTAAATCTGTCTTTATATGAATTGTGCTAATCATAATATCTATTAGAAACATATATTAATTTGTGCACGCAATAAAAACTCAGTCCATTTACTTTAAAAGGAAAGCAGTTAACACGTGTTAATTTTTTTGCTACTGTTTATGTAAGCGAAATTTCAACTTACTAGTTTGTGTTTTTCACGTGCATTAGTTGTCTGAGATATTAACCTCGTTAGGTTTTAATAGTAGCAAGCTGATTGCGTTGGGAGAAGTCTCGGATAGCAATTTATGGTATATCAACGAGAATTATATGTATTGCTCTTCATATTGAACAATTTCTCATGTACGGACCGAAAATTCTATTATCACTTTATTACGGAACTGATTTCCTCCTTATCGATCCTCTGCTTTACGAAGCACGAAAAACGCACGTGTAATACGCATTTACTGAGACGTTGCTTAAACGCATGACTTAATTACACTAAATCTATGTTTTGTGTTCTTAAAATCTATATTAAGGTATTCCTCGTTATGTTTATTCGACTGTACAATCTCCAACAGTAGATTTCTAATAAATGAGAATGAAGGCCTTCCGCAATTTCGTTTTTTCGGCCATTCCTCCTTGATTAATATGTATATATATTATTCAAACGTATTTTGTAAACATTGCTAAACATTTCAATCAACAGCGCATATCTCGGATAATCGCATATTACATATACGTAGTTAGCACAAAACTTAATAATAAGTTAGTAACGATTTGGATACATGATAGTCAAAAAAAAAACTGTGGGAAAATTTTGATCATGAGAATGTAACTTCTGATTTGTGCTTTCAACAATGCTAAGTTTAAGACCACTTAGTTTCGTTAGCGATCATAGCGGTGCCCAAATTCGGTAGAGTTCGGGCTACACTTTCAGAGCTTGAACAGGAGGTGCTGTGGTAGGAAGGTATCCTCCATTGCTATGGGTGTGGTTATTTGCAGGCGGCTGGACGAAGAGTGTTGATATGAGTCGGTGATCGCATGACGTATGAAGGTTGTTCTGTTGGGCAACGTCAGCAGGGAGGTAGTCCCCGGTAAAGTGCAGTAGAACGATGGCACCGGATTGAACCGAAATCGAGTGCCCTGTTCCTCCACCTAGAGCACTAGGAGCTCCACACCAGGCTTCACCGAGGACTTGCTCTAAGCCCCTGGCACCAGTCTTTTCAAGCCGGCGACTTCGTACTAAATGGTGCTGTCGAGACAAAACAGAGGCAATTATTAAATTAGGATTTTTCTTAGAAAAATCGTGAGAAAATCAGGACGAGTTTCTCTGAAAAATATTATAGTTATTTGTGTTGTTGTGTGAAATGTTTCTGGAAGGGGGGGGGGGGGTATCCAATAAAAAAAATCGATGCGATATGATATATCTTGTGTTAAGGTAAAGCAAAGGGTATGTTAATACGCACCCCTTTTTCAGTGAGCATTCGTACGCATTTAAACGCCTTGTCTTCGCAATCCTTTCCACTGAAGATAAACACCCTGTCATGGCTCTTTGGCTAAAAAAGATTCGTGGCAATCCGGGAACGAAAAATAAGTGATATTCGTTAAAAATTAAAGTAAGTAGAATATTAAAATCATTGCGCCAAAGTCAACACTAAACTGCGTCAAAATAAAGCAATTATAAAAATTGTTGATCAGCCTCGGTGCACAACTAAATTATAAATAACGAACAAAACGAGGTTGCCATTATATATGTATCACTATTGAAAATATGTCTCGTAGTGTCCGATTGGAGAGGAAAAGCACTGAATAGTTCCTTAGTTATTTAATTATAAAATGTTCACTGTCTTTTTTGTAGTTGATTAGATGGTCTTGGTATAGAACAAAATAGATAGCCAAAATTTAGAACAGCCAAAGCTAGGATCTCAAAGATAATTATCAGTCACTGACAGACAGATCAGACCTACTATTACGTCAGAAGAAACCAGAAGAATTTCGAGATCGATGAGAACTAGTTACTTGTTGCTATGATGGAGCACGAGAAAGCGACATAAAACTCTCATACGGAGCTTCGGCGATTTAAGTCAATGGCTTTCTGTTTTAGGATGTCGTTAACCATATTTTCATTTTGTCCTTACAGTGCATTTTCGCGTACCGTGGACTCTTGGCACGGCGCTTTCCTCGGGTTCCTCCGTAATGTCCAGGCCATCTAGTTCTTCAGAGTCGACTTCGCTGAAGACTTTCATCTGCATTGGGAGAGAAAATCGCACATTACATGTACCTAGACGCACGTGTACGTTAGCGTGTTAAGGCTTACTTTTACCGATAGCAATACTAGGAAAATTAGCAAACAGGTAGTTTATTGGCAAAAGCCTGTAATCAAGAGCAAGCTTTTATATTTCAAGCATTTGGTTTCTAGCTTCTATTAATTTACCCGGTTACAGGCGGGATCTTTCCATCGTATATAGTCTTCCAAATAAAATCTAATTCGTGCGTTTTATCAGTTTGACGTTTTGTATTGTACTTTACTTTCCATAGTTGCTATGCACCAGGCGTTACGGGCCCAGTCAAGCATCGCATCTCTACATACAAACGACACAGTTCGCTATTATGATTCGTACAGATTACTAACCATATGCTGGTGCTATAACTTATACTCACGTAAGCCTTGCTGTACGTCCAGTTGTGCACAACCTGGCTCGGCGTAAAGTCGTACACTTCGTACCAAAAGTTCGTAAAAGGGTTCAATTGAGCTTCGGTCATTTGTTCTGTAACAAAGCGGCATTCTATAAAAATGGGGCCAAATGATTTGCTATCTAAGTTGCTTCCTTGGAAAATGTTTAATAAAAATGAATGTTTAATTGGAAAATATAAGCTGAAACCATTCGCGTCTTAGGACCTGTGTCTGCTAGAAATTTTCGTCGTCGAACAATTCGGTCCATAATCCCAATTACAAGGTTAGAATTAACTGTAATAGTTACACGGAGGGTACTCTGTTGGAGTGTAGGGATATTCCAATATATTAATTACTAATTGCTTGATCGCGCGTGCCGTGTAGTATATGTTATTGGCGGGAATAGTGACACATTTCAATGTGTGTATTATAATATGCGACTCAAAGTAACTTAAGATTGAGAGATTTGGTTGTCTAGCGCAAACGAAGTCGTTGCCTCGCGCAAGGCAAGCGCAAGGTTTACGATCATAAGCATGTCGTACACTGAAGTCGATTACTGCTGATTTGAAATGAAAGGCATGCCTACGAGCGAAATTTACGGTTTAGAATATTTGTCGACATAACTAATCTATCATTTGGTGGCCGTAAACGTTCTATACATCGAATATATACGAGTACTAGCTTTTTTCGTTCTCTTTATACTACTACTGATTGCTCAAAGAGACGCTTGAGATATTTTTATATGAAACCAGCATTTTTAGTGAAAGTGGCGGAAACGGAACGCCGGGCAAAATCAATTATCCGTATAAATTGTGTAACCAGATCAAATAATAATATTATTATTATCATTAACATTAAATATCATCAACAAACCAACGACAGGGGGGTGCTTTCCATTATTCAAAATTCAACAATATCGACAGTTAATTGATGCAAGGACACTTTAGGTCATCCTATATTTTCGATTGAATATCAAATCGGCTATTTATTCATACATTTATATAGGATATAACTCAGGTATCTTCAAATTAACAAAGCGACTCGCCACACGAGCTGAATTTTTTGTAGATCTGATCTGAAACTGGCCTTCCCCTAAAGACGACGCGCTTTCTATGTTTCAGAAAGTCTGATTCCATCATAGTTGACATACATCTTACCAAAACGTAGGCATCTGCTCATTTCTGTGCTTACCCAGCTTCACACTGAAGTAAATGAACTAGTGGTCCACGCACTATTCCTTTCTTTAGGTATAGAGGACAGTTACTGTAAATTGCTGTGGCCTTTTGTCCAAGAATCACATAATAAAGCCGAACGGATAAAAAGTTTTGCAGTATCTCTGTGATAGTATTTTCCATAGACTCATCTGCTCGATTAGGAAACAAATTTGCAAGTAAGTTATAATGTACTGAGTGAACTATCGCAGTTACTGCTACGCTAGATATTGTAGCCTCTGTAACGTCTGCGAATGGAGGGGCTTTTCGTTGCTGCTTAAAAGACAAACTAAACTGCGCGCACTTTTTAGATGCTATTATGTCCATAGACGTTCTTGTAATGAATTAACTCGTAACTGAAGGAAAAACAGGAAAAGCAATTGCTAATCATTGTGGTCACATACGTAACCCCTATACGTTTTCCGCTACAGTATACACCAATGGCTGTTTACTGCGACGTCTAGTATATCGCAGATCGGGCGTTGGGTCGTACTTGAAACGACTAATGACCTATGTAGGGCCACTTTTTTAGTGTCCATCACTGCTGTACCTATTATGGTTACTGGTTACTCGCCTACAGGGCTGTATTTAAACGAAGCTAGAGGAGCTTCTTATGAGACAAAATAAACAGGAAGAGTACGTGTTGATCAGATGCTGTGAATTATGATAGAAGACGCGTAACGCGAAAGCTGGGTAAAAACAAATGAAACAAAATAAGCTAACAATAGCAGTTATTACGGTTGCTGTTGTCGCCGTTTTATCACGCCGATACGATAACCGGAGACGGCCCGAAATCATGATAATGGCTGTTGTTACACCGACGTAGGCAGAGCGAACAAAGAGAATGTTCGAAATGAGAAATTTTTGCGGGTCGATATTTCGTGGCAACGTGAGAAACTGCATGAATTAACATTAAATATATGTATAAAAAATAAAAATATGTATAAAAAATTGATTTGACTAGAAATCCTATTTTTTGCTGGTAATTGACCATCTCTTGGTGGCTAACAGGAAGACCGGTTCCTATAAGAATTTTTCACTCATAGCCGAAGCTCGCTTGTCATTTATTACAATAATGCGGAAGAGGTTATTTCAATCGAGAACTACGATCGCGTCAGTGGATTTGTAAAATGGAATGAAAAAGCCTTTTTGTTAGGTTGACCAGTGGTTTTACATACAAATGTGCACAAGCGTTTTGCTGTCCTATCTCGCCATGTATAGGCTAATTTTACGAGTATGTCGTACAATTAGATACCTTTAAGTCCTCGATAGTTGAGCTGTATACACGAGAATTTGAGGGCGGAACAGAACTCGATTGAAGGCTGCGAGGTACATAAAAGTGAGATTCGTAATTTAAGACAATCACGAGCTCGGAACTGCTGGCATGCTGCGACCAAACGACAGTTTTCGGAATTTCGTATAAAAACGGAACCGCGTGTAGGTCCCAGTACGATCTGGCAGTTCTTACAATCGTCAATAGTAACTACATTCATGTGGTCGAGCAGTAAGATGTAACTGTCCTGGAATAATATACAACAACAGAGTCCAAATAAAAATATTCTGGGTTATTTTATATATACAGGATGGGCTAAATGTCTCTTGACTGTTTGAGGATCATCACTTTATTCCCTCACATATTTTCGGCATTTTACTCTCGTACCTTTTCAGCAGATGTAAAGCTAAGGTCTCTAACTGTTAAATTATATTTGTTCCATATTATGTATGGTTTTTACGTAAAATTATGTGGCCTATTTATGAGCTGCTTTCAGGCTATTTGAATTACACTTATTCTGTGCACCGACAGGAGCATTTGAAAAATATATCTATCTAGTTAAACTGCAATTAACTTGTAGGCCGTTACACATACCTGACAATCTTGTATGATAAATTGTTGTCCATTGATAGTTCCCGGCTTCCGTATAACAGTCTCATTTTTCTTCTGCTCGACTGTAAAGTCTTTAGGGTTAACAGCTGATTTACTCATCTCCCTGTATCAGAGAAGATTAAATGTGGGTCAATTGTAGAATTAGTGGCGTAGCTATTACTCGAATTTAGTCGGTAAAATTAGTTGGACAGACCGTTAGAATTATTTATGCTTTCTAAGTGCGCCATGAAGGGCTTATACACCGTCATACAATGCTACATTACTTCTTTACAAATGGGAGGCTTTCCAAACAATGAACGACTACTGCAAATATTGAAAAATCGATCACTTTAGAACTTATTGCGGCAATATTGATCTGTTTCGAGAAGCCATCTAAAACCTGTCACACATATAGTTTCTCGGCATGTTCGTTTATGTACAAATGGAATACTACGTAGTCTGCCTTGTGGATGGAATGCCCTGCATACGCAAAAGTAAAAATACAAAAATACTAGATATTTTAGCAGTAATCTTTTTTGACACTTGACAAAATCCAGATATACGAGCACTTCGGCTGTTTAATTTGCCAGCATTTTTCACCATCAATGTCGTATAGAACGCCTACGTACATATACGTCTCGATATCGGCAATTTACGTGAGGGTAACACAAGCATTCGATTCAACACATTGTCCTATAAATTATTCTATTCAAAGGATTATTTTGCATTATATGTGACAGTTTTGTTTATGTTTTAAATTTTCCATATTCTGAGAAGCAACATTTGGGGCGACACTCCCACTTTTACAACGAAACATCTTCACTAACGACGACAGCAGCAACGGCAATAACAAAAACAGCAACAGTGACGTGTATATGCTCAAAAAGGGAAGCCCAAATAACAGCAGAAGTGGCAAAAAAGCTTCGACGAACTGACGGATAACTTCGATATAAAGGGACAGTGTCAAGAATCCTAATTTAAGTGGCTGTCCACGGCACCCTGCCGTGATCAGCCGTGCTTGGATTTCTTCAGCATTGCGGGAACTTCATTATATGCTTAGTCTGCCAAAGTCTGAACCTTCCGGTCTCAACGGCAACGATTGAACAAACTACGGGGGCGTCGACAATACGTTGTCGAGCGCCACGATCTCAGCTATTTTAGCTTGTTCGGAATGGTTCAATATTCGATTCGCTTTCTCCGCTGATGTTCGTCCTACCGCGCATGCTGGAGCTACCCCTCATCATCGTGATCATCAAAACAAGCAACATTAGTAGCTACGATGGGGAGGACTAATGACGATTTGACGGAGGCCACAATCGAACAAGAGCAATCGTCTAATGTGTATAAACACGACCCTCAATGTACTAACGTAAAACATGCGTGCCCAATGCAGAGAGAGCGAAAGTTATGAACACTCATATTCAAGAGATCATAGACTCTGTAAGCACCTAACGATATTGGTGGACGATCTAGTTTTGTCTGGATGAGCTGATCCAAAAGTAGTTGAAAGCGGATGTATAAGGCTCGCCGCTATGGAGAAGAATGTCTTTAACGTTTTAATGGAATATTTAGCAGTAAGTTAATAAAGATAGACTTCAACTGTAGTGTGGGTTGTGATTTATGTGTCGCTGTGAACAAAGGACCTGCTGTATTGACAACGTCTATCAGCGTAGATGGATAGAGTCAGGTATCGTTTAGAACTGAATGGTATTATCGATCTCGATGGATCTAATCGTACACAATACTTTTACACGCCTCTATGTAGCTAAAGGCCGACATAAAAGCAAAATTAGTTTTGAAGGTCAGTTTGGAAGCGAACCGCCGCATCTGTCTTTAGGTAATACTATGCACGCAAAAATAATGATCGTTTTTAAGTGATTCCATTCAATACTATGCACAGAACATACTTTACCAAAAAAATAGAATTTCAAAATTGCGCGGGACTTGCCGCTGTCAAGGATTGGCACCTACTTTTTCTATTCAGCTTGCCGTATGAATGACAATCCAGGCTGGTGTGAGAGATTTTTTCAAGAAAAATATAACTACAGCGAAGCTAGTGGTGTCGGCGCAAATAGGCCCAACTGTTGGGACAAAACTTCACATTTGGCCCATATGAAATATAGATTTTATCCACATGACGTCCGGTCGTATGTTAACAGTATTACATAAGCCCGCTTAAAAACGTGCTTGCTTTTGGAAATCGTGGTAAAACTGAATTAGTTAATTACAGCGGTATGGGACTAGAGGAAGCTTGACTTCATTATACGCAAGTTCACAGTAATGCAATGTTGCATGCAAGTTTTTTAAAGAAAACCAAGCGTGTCTGGTTTACTGCAACCTAGAACTAAAGCTTCCGCTTTAGTGCAATGGACAAACATAACTTCTCATTTATGGGAAGAGATATCGCTTAGTTTGTAGTGACGTTTTGATAAAGATCATTAACTAACAACTAATATGTTGTGCTGCATTCCAGTACGTTCTTCATGTTTAAATAGATTCTCTTCTGGGTTTAACGTACCAGTCTTCATTACATTGATAATAGACAATATTTCCGATTATCCCCTTCAAAATTGGCGTGCTAGATTTTCCAGACCATTGTATATCTGAATCTGATGCCAAATTTTCGTGGGGATTTCCAGCTTTTAGTGTTTCTACATCTTTCTCAAAATAATTCCTACCCCTCACGGTATCGCGCTGTTTGGCCTGCCTAAAGATTAAGTATTTAAGGAGGTTTTATCGATCTCTTTTGGGTAAAACTTGTATTGGTGTCACGGGACAGATAGTTAACGATTACCAGGTTTCTGTCCTACGACGCGTAGTTCAGACTGTTTTATGTACGTCGTAGCAAATAATGACTAGTCAAGGCACTATCTCCACGTTAAATATCTTGGCGTTATCTAACCATGATACGTAAAATGGGTCGAAACATCATTATGGCAAACTTCGCTCGGTATGCACTCAGGTGAAATCTTTGGTTTGTACCACGTTAAAACTGCTTCCATCAATGAGTGTGCCATGTTATTTACAAAAAGACGATTTCAGATTAAAATACTCTCAATGGTCACTTGGCAACTCCAAGGCAGGAATTTGTACAGGATGAAATCACCAGTTATATGTCATAGGACAATTGTGTTTATCATATTAGTTTACAATACCGTAAGCTTCTTATTTACTTCACCATTTAAACAGTAATAGACATCTCCCAAAACACACGCAGTGTAGCCGCTTGAAAATTTTCATTGTATCACACGTACACCGATCGTATCAGACACTTCAAGAGACTAAAAACTTAATATTCAGAGTTTTACGTTCGGCACTGCTGTACGCGTGCGATTAGACAGCTGGCATCGAACGCGAAATTAGTAAATGAACTTTACGAAACTGTTGCTCAAGGTATCGCTGCGACTAGTCCTATTATCCTAATTTCTTTTTTCCAGGAGTGTTGGCGGTGGTGGGTTGAAAAATCGGGTACCGGATACAACAGGATATCGGAATGGCCTTTTGCAAACATACCTCTAGATGTGTATTGTTTTTGCGACACGTGACAAAGAAGCTGTTCCAGTTTAACGTTTTTAAGTACGACTGCGTAAGACGGGTCAACATGTTTGTTTACTCGAAGCAAAAAAAAACTGAAAAAAATAAATATCTTAATGACACTACATTCTATTAGATAATTTATATCAGTAGAATTTCAAACCCTTAAACTTTTCTACCTAAGCAATAGTTGACAAGGGTCGCTTTAAATGCAAAATCAGAGCAACGTTTTTTAAAGAGGCTTTGACAAAAAAAACATAGATTGGCGAGGTAACTTTTGTTTATAAAAGAATTGCAAAGTATTATTTTGATGATTTGACAAGTAAAGCTATAGTTGCTTGGCCATCGTTGATAGATTGCTCCTCTTGCTCTAAAAAGATCGCGAAACCTTTATCGAGCCCCTCATCTGATCATTTAGTTCATTAGAATTTTTCTAGTATTGCTTAATTGTATAACATATGTCTGTCAATGCATCGGTTGACTTAATATGTTTAAAAAAAAATCCGTAGTACGCATTTCAGCTATCGCAATTTAGCTTGTCTTTTTCGTTTCCACCCTAATCAGTTTTTGCTATAGCAGAATTTTGTACCATGCGGAGTTCTGTGACAATTGATTTTAATACTAGTTTTTCTTAATCCGCGAAAATAATTCCTACAGCTGTTAAAGGACCTTATCAGTACAGACTACGTGCATAGGTAAAAGAACTGGTTCTCGCAGTTTGAGTACAGAGAAAAGTTGACTTAATTTGTCAATAGGAAGTGTCGACGAAGCTGTCAAGTACACTCCTTGAATGACTGTTTATTGATAAACAAATCGTGCTACTTACCACGAATATTGTTTTTTCGGTTGCTCTTCACCAGCGACCGTATCGGTCGCTCTCTTTTGACATAAACTACCGCAGACGCATCCCATCGTTGATTCGGGACTCCGACAGACCGAATCGTCCTGTTCGTCTACATTACTGGGCACGTGTCTTCCCTTTAAATGGACTAATAGCTCAGTTCCTGCTGTATGGTCAGTTTCGTTCGTATAATGGATTTTAGCAGTTGTACTGCCCTCAACTGTCGGCGAATCGCTTTGGCTTCTTTGCGCTGATTCTATGGTCGTCGTAGTCGTGGTCTGCGTTAAGCGACAACTATCATTTTACCAAGAATAGTTGTTTTGTTTCTAATAGGTATTTTTATAACACATGAATAAGCAGGAGATTCGTTTTGCCTTGTTAACACGAACGAGGTGTCTGCAAGACAGCTGATTGCGCGTAGCCGAAATAATTGCTGATTTAGTTTAGACCTCAAGACATAAATGCAAAAAAGCGGTTTGTCGTAAAGTGCGACTTCGCTCATAACTCATGGCTTTATAGACACACGGATATGAGTATCTAGCTGTGCGACCTAGGGGATAAGCCGGCTACTATAAGCTATGACATATTTCCGCGATTCCGCCGGCGCATTTTACACAGACAATTTAGACCGCTATTCACATACGCTTTCATGCAAGACGGGCACTCATGAGGCAGGACTTGAGCACGGCCAGGCTACTTAATGCGAAGACTTGAAGAAGCCTTTACAATGTGGATGTTTCTGTGAGCCGATTTTTTTCTTCCGGCTTCTTTGGCTGGTAGCACCGCTATGATGACGGAACAAAGATAATAGCTCGGTAATAGTAGAAATAGGTGGAGGGCGCTTCGACTAGACTTACAGAGAGGGTTGAGCTCCATGAGCACTGGCCATGGTGACGGCAACGGCGAGCATTCCGTTGTCTGTTGTGGAGTTACCATGGACTCCGGGGACTCGGTATATCCCCGGCCCCTTGGTCTGTCCCGCTTTCCCTTCAGCTCGGACGATCCCCAAGACAAAATCAAGCCATTCAGCCCTTTGCTGTTTCGGTTGTTGGATGGAAGGGAAGGGACCCCGGAATACTCCTTGTCGTCTCACAACATCGTACTCTATTCTATGCTGTCCACAGTGTATACCTGCCTGTGGCCATACGTCGGCGTCACGGGAAAGGGTCACGATAAGCAGCGCACGACCAACACACGAAACACTGCTCCTGTTTCAACCAGTCGGTCGTGGTCCAGCGGTCGCAGACATGACGACGGCCTCTTACTTAGAACCTAGAAACGGTGTTAGGGCCGCTGGTAACCAGCTGCTGCCAGTGTGGCATTAACTTACGCAGTACGGATAATTGCGTCTCCGGTAGACGAAGGCGTGTGACGCACGCCAATACACTGTTACGCGTCAGCAGTAATAATAGCAACAGCAGCGCGCCGGTAGAGTACCAACGGGTGTAACGACGGCGGAGAGGGGACTCCGTGAGCGCGTGGGCTAATAGGGGTCGGTTCGAGTTATGCAGTTTCTGGGGCTGTACGTTAAAGGAATCGGACACGATGTGAGAGTCTTGGTTAAAGACATCGTAGAGTGCGGACAAGCTGAAGCGGCTATTGCCTTTTATGCCACTGTTGCCCAGCTTCATCGTAGTGCTACCTCACAACCGAAAAACGAAAGTAAATGAGAGAGCAAAGTAGACGTTTGAAAATGTTGTGTTTATTTTTGCATTGTATGAGCGGCCCATTGGGTAAGCTACATGCACCAGCAGCGAAACTATTGCCTGCTATGCTTCTCTTGTGTTCCTACGCCCCAGAATCTATTGTTTGTGGGTGCGGACTGTTGTATAGGTATAGCGTATAGATGGCGAAGCAACAACACGTGACGCTGTTATTGGTATAATGGAAACCGCCGACAGAAGCATGCTTTGCGTTACTGATTCGTCTTCCACGTTCAATGTGGAATAGAGCAATTGTCTGTAGCATTTGTTAAGGCAGAAAGTTATTACTCTTCTATTGCCACAGTCGGACATGCTAGCTATTTGCCTTTAATATATTGTTAATTTCGTAGACAACTTGCGGGTGTTATGAACATAGAAGTATCCTCGGTAGCATACCAGATTTTTATGACAATTGACTCAGATTCGATGTCATCAGGCATCATATGCGAAAAAGTTTAAATAAGCAAATCTTCTAAAATTTACCTAGCTCTTTTTGAGCGGTTAATTTAGACTGATTTTCTTTTAAAGATAACTTTTCTTCTCACACAGTGTTATAGTATTTCACTAACGTACATTCCGGTGGCTACAGACGGTGTTTTTGGTCTATAGGGTTCTTCGAGCGTTCGATGCAGCTCGATCTACCAGTAAAATATTCAGCCATTAATAATTATTGCCTAAACCCTCCTGTTTGTTTCGGTCTGATCAACAACTTGCCTAAGAAAGTAATAATACGTACGGTAATCCTAAACAAAAAACATGTTGCCCTCAAAATGTCAAGTTTATTGTGTGACTTCAAACATGTGATATCAATCCTTTGACTACCTTACGCAAGCCGAGCTTTCAGGTTACGCTAAATAGATCCTAAACTATAATATGTAAATAGACTAAGAATGGGAATTAACATTATGACTATGTCTACTCGTATCCTCTACAGGTTCAGGTTGCCTCGATGTTAATATTTTCTAGATTTCGTCTTATCGTCATGAAGGCGGGTTAGTGAAGTTTGCATCTCCAAAGCGATCGTCAACAGATTTAATTATTATGGTAAAATACTGACCCTCTCATATGAAACTTCGGGTACTAATATCAATGAATGATATAGAAAAGCGCTAGTTGTCGCAACGCCTACAAAAAAAAGCCCATAGCTACAGCATTATTTAGCACGAAAGTCACGGCTATAGAAAAAAGTTAGTGCTTCGTACTTAGCAGCGCCAGATCGGGTTCTCGAAGAGACTTTCACCACTGCAGATATCATCAGCATATAAGCGCTTTGTGTACTTATTTACCCCGGTATCCCCCACTCGCCGTTGAGATTTGTCAAAAAAAAGTAACAGAAATTAATACAGCTTTTTGTGCCATAAGGCTGACAAACGGATGAGCATGGGAAATAGACAGATCATTTTGTCCATGGCTTTTACGAGGTGTTCGTTGTCGTATCATTTCCTTTGTATTATAGGTTTTCAGAGAGTAAGTATATGCAACGTAATATGAAACGCTAATTATGCTAGATTTTTTAATTCAACCTATTGACAAGACAAAAGCCTAATTATCGAATGCTTTCTTTGATTAATTTACTCTGTAGCAAACTCAGGAAAATCAATTTAAAAAACTCAAAACAAAAGTTATGAATTGCTAAAGCCGCTAGAACTGTTTGAAACTCAGCGATATTATTCCCCGATTCGCTTGCAAGTCCTTAAATCGCCCAGCTTTAATGCGTTAGCTTTCGTTTGAAACTAAGGCTTGGCTATTAGGCACTTCCAAGGTTCGAAATCTAATTGTCCTGGTTAAGGCAGCATTCGTTTTTTGCTCGGTCCTCTCAAAATCCCTGTCCTGATAGGTTTCCGAACCAACGCTGCACAGTGTTATCTGGCCAATTGTAGAACCGGGAGCTGGTTAGGGAAAATCTATTCTACACTAATTTAGAACGAGTGTCACTTTTTACGTTAATGAGCGTTAAAACACCTGGTTCTATTCCATCCCTTAAAGATACCTACGGATTTTACTGGGTGGGCTGGATGAGCTATGCTTGTTACGGTGTCATGACACGACTTTGAGAATACATGAGCTCGTTGGAAGCATTTGTTTAAAAACTGTCTATCAATTCTTTGTCTGCTGAGTAAAAGTCTCGTAACGCCCCGAGGCAAGTTTGGTATTCTTATTCAGGTCCAGAATACCGCGAGGCAACACGAGTTTCAACACATAAAAGACTGCGTGCCCTAATAGTGTATTGGACAATGTTAAGTGAACAAACGAAAGAAAATTGATGACTACCCAATTTTAATACAGCAACCTTCGCTCTGCATTCATTAAATAAGATATTCGTTAATCCTTAATTAAATGACCGACTATGCTCCACACGCACTCCAGTAGGACGCGTACGTTTTGGCCGTTTCGTGCTCGGCAAACATGGACCCCACTGATTTAAATATGAACTGTCCTTCAACATATATTTACATGTGTACGGGACCCATATACCAAGGATGGTCATTTCCGTTTGTCGGACTTAAAATTGTAGGACTAGTTGTAACGAAACAGTGGTCAATCCTTTAGTTGATGATTCAACGGAGTCAAACATTATAACTGCCAGCTAGGAAAGCAGAGCCGCCCGAAAATAAATAAACACGCTAGTTATCTTGATAAATCTATAAGCGATAACCACTTAATGTTCCCCTAGGGGATGTTAAGTTGCTTCAGTCTTATAGACTTCAGTCAATAGCTAAACTTTATTATTGCGTTTTTATTTCACACGCTTACGATCAATGATATATGTAAATTTTTGTGTCTGTGCTTTGCTAGACTCGTGTATTTCACTAATTCACAATATTCGGTTTACAGCGAGATCGTCGATTTTCGCTCGATCGACTAATTGTTGATATCACTTTGCGAAAATAGTAATAAATACATTGCGTTTATATGTATGTACAGTTATATGATATAGTAGTTAAGAGAAATAAGCAACAGTTTTCAGTGACTCTTCCGGGGCCTCATGAGCCTGACGCCGAAACACCAGACTTCATTATTTTGTTTTTATGTTCATGCAGGTTGCTATAACCAAGCTTAACTTGAATCCTTGAATTAGATCAACTAGCCTATATGAGACTTCCGCAGTTTTTATGGCCCTTATTTAAAGAAAAGATATTTGAAAGATCGAATGAAACAAGAATTAAGATAGATCTGAACCTAGATGTTTTAAGGGTTTTGTGGATGGCGCCTGCATGGACGCTGGTAAGTTATTGTCAGAAAACATGAAACCTTGATCGTTCCGTTTTCGCTATCAGATTCCACATTTTTGCCGACATCCTTGAGACGATATCATCTGCAAGAGGTGCATGGTTTGAGCCAATCATCAGCACTTCCAAACACGTGACATTTTTGGCTTGATTTTCAAAAAGTTCTTCAGTGAGTAACTTATAAAAGTTGACAGCCCCCACGCCGGGGTACGGCAGAAATTTACTACGTGGCGCATACAGCGGTGTCACTTTACGACCGCTAAGATTCTCAAACCAGATATCGTAACGGTACCTGCAACGTTCATCAGACCACGTGAATCCGAAATTTTGGCCTTCACCCACAATTCGTTCAGCTTTCTTCCAGGCGCGTTGTAAACAATGTTTAACCTGAGTATTTTTCTCATCGGCGAGCCCGCATATCGTCCGATTAGCCGTGCGATTGACAAAGATGAAGCCTTCCAGTTGGCGGATGTCTCCGAAAACGCTACGTAGGTCGAACTTCAGGTCAAGACGAGCGACGATATGCGGGACTGAAAGCCAAAAAAGTGAACTATGGGGTTGATACGCTGAGGCGCAATCGAGCACGAGCTCAGAGAACGCGGCCGTGACTTTCTCTTGAAGGTCGGACAGTTTCTGATTAAGCAAGAAGCTATTATCGGAGTCCTTATTCTTTGGCATGTCATTTAGCGTGTCATAAAACAGCCCCGAATCGAAGGTCTCGCGAATGATGAGTTTGATATGAGCCAGCATCATTTTCTCTGCTTCAGTCATTGGCTTGATTTGCATAACGCGGTACACTTTAGTCATCATATTGCGTATCAGAGCTGTTTGTTGAGTAATGTGCTCTACGTCGATGTGTTCACCCTTAAAGGCTTCTCCTTGAATATGGTTGACATGCCTTGACAATGCGTACAGGGCGTCACTGCGCGCTGTTAGCTCGTTGAGTTCAGCTAACAGAATAACCGTACCTTGACAAACTGTATCGAGGCGAACCACTAGAAAGGGTACAGCTGTATTGAAGTTCGTCGAGAAGAACATAGGCAGGTAACTATTCATGTCCATTATATTAGCTACCAACGACAGGTGGAACAGATCAGTGGTGCTGAGTTTGAGAGCGTTACCCGCGTGGTGCTGCATGAGACATTGACTCTCGTGGAACAGCATCGCATGACTAAACGTCAACGGAGCATTTTTCGTCTTATGACGAGCCGACGCAAGAATCTCCTCAAGAAGCTTCTGGTTCTCCCTCGAATACGGATAATAACTATGGGCTTCAACCAACCACGGGATCGAGCTTCGTTTAAGTTCGTCATACGCTTTCATCATGTTTTTGAGCAGCTGTGCACGTGGCTTGTCGAACCGAAAATGCGTCCTCAATTGAGGTAGTGCACATGCGTAGAGATGCCATACGCATTGGAGAAGGGTGTTAACACGCCGCTTTTCCGTGCCCTGACGGCCTTCACGCGAATTGCAGATGTAGATGGCAGTGTAGCCCAGATATTCAGTGAACAAGATCAGGGTTTCGTTGTCGCATTGGATGCAAGCGCACGGATTGTTCAGTTGTGTTTTGTAGATTTTCTGCGACGTAAGTAAAGGCGCAAACAGATGTACAAGAATATCCGTACTGACCTTTTCTTTTGGCGAGTCAATGAACCCGTTGCACATCGCCACCGCAGCCACGTGCTTGTAAAACTTGTCGTCAGCCAAGTTGAACACTAGGTCGTTCATAGGGTCAAACACAAGGAAAGCCCTCATTCCCGGGCCCGCCTTCGGTGTCGTTAAAAAGAACTGAACGGCCTCACTGTTATTCATTTGCTGTTATTGCCTACAGAGCTGTTTTTCCTTTCTGGATTGTCGATGAGCAATGGAGAACACACCACGAATGATTTGGCTGGCCGCCGCTCAGTGCAGTACTTCCAGAAATCCAACTACTCGACAGACGCGCTCACTCGCTCCGCAGCTCGCTGAAAGCAGTAAAAGTTTTGTGACGTCGAATAGGTTTGGGTACGGCAAAGGCGAGTCACGCGGTGTTTTGCTTTCTATTGACGTCGGCTGCCTGTTCGCTGCTGGGTCTGGGAGGGGTGGACAAAATGGGAAAAAACATGGAGAGAAAGGGGGGAGGAGAGGGAGAGAGAGGGACCGGTTACAAAAGGAACAACACAAGATTATGTTGGTTGACTTAAAAAAGGCGCAAGTGATTGTTTTATTGGCGATTGCTGGAAACAGCTCCTATTACTCCGGCGTCTCTAATAGAACAAGTCACAGGTCACTTTAGGTATCTCTCGACCTGTAATTCTGTGTAATCCTTTAAAGAAGAAGCCTGGTGGGAAATACCGTTGGCTTTTATTCTTGAAAGAGTGACGGACACTGTCACAAACGGAAAGGAGGCCCGCTATTGCCTATAGTTGCTCAACGTGATCCGGCCCGTCCCATTTTGGAGAGAGGTATAATGCCGATGACGCCGAAACAGCAGACAGTGCCATAGAGCTATACCGTTGTTGTCGGTACCCCACCGTGTCCACGATAGTAATCGGAGAGCGTAAGACGTTGAGTATTGAGAGGGGAAATCCTTTTTTGTGGACACTGGCTTTTTTTCATTTTCCAGTTAATCATCTGCTGGTGTCACCGGATATTACAGTGCACCTCGACTGGCGGGCTGCGTGGAATATAGACAACGTGTCGAACACTCAAAAGGGGAAGCGCATGGTAATGACTATCAATACTGCGACGCCGCTAATCTCCCCGTCAACGGCCTGTTGTCGGTTGAGTTAGACACTGCTTTGCAGATGTCGGGCAAGATGGCGACCTCGTTCACGCTAATAGGTTACGGCTGTTTCACTCGCTGTTACACACCCCCTATCAAGTGAACGTAAAATACGTACCTACTGGCCCGACGTGGCTTTCTAGTAAAATAATAGAGCAAAGGTGTTCTCAGTTTGAGTATGACCTTGAGCGTTGCGTTAGCCAGTTCGAATAGTTTCTGATAACAACTTTTATTAGAGATTAGATAGCAACCAGGTTGATACGTGTACACAAGTACACCTTGTGTGCATGAGTATATAAAGGCACGATCTTTATCGGGAGACCGCCTTATGTGGCTATTGTCGCCATTTTTATAGTTCGTGTTTAATTTTTTTTAAAACGACATATGCGAAGAGCGTCTATTTATTATTAACTCTACGAACTTTGTTCCTCTACTTCTTCTTTCTATGGAAATGTTATAGGACATTTTATCTGTGCGCTGTGAGAGTGCTATGACATCTAAATGGCTTGTATTTTTAATATATATGTATAATACGTCAAATAACTAAAGTCAAACAACCATTTTGTTAGCAATATTTATTAAAAGAAGCTTCCCTTTCGCTTGTAAACAGATTAATCCTTAAAAAGAAAAGCACGCACCATATTGTTTTCGCGCTTGAGTACTGACGCTTTAGAATGCACGTAGCATTAACATTAATACAAAATAATTGACGTAAATACAGAATTCTTGCCTGTCTGCTAGTGGCACATAGGGATTAAGCGGCAGCGCATCTCCATATGGGTATATATTCGCTCGATCAATGACCCTGCATTTTTGAAAAAAATCCGGAATATTAAGCTATCTACATATTTAAAAATTGGACTTTGAGCAATATTATTTTTAATCAACTACGAAAGTACTTAAATGAATGTTTCGAGTTATATGACCGGTGCTTAAGTCGCTAGGCGTTGCTTTACTCGGATGTTTTTTTAACAAAACAGGAAGCACATCTACGCCTAAATTCAGACCTAAAGCAACACGGGCCGCCTGTAATCAATCAAGTACCGTAGCTCATTTATAAGCAATTTTCGTAAGGAAAGAAACTAATACAAAACATTTAAAGTAGAACTACAATATAGGTAAACAAATTTCAGAAGAAACGCTATAGCTACTCTTAATTCATACCTAATCTATGACTACCATGGCCTGCCCGTTATCATTACCCGCCAAGTTAAATTGTTAAAATCGAGTCACCATATTTCCTATAATCGTTATAATTCCTATGTGTTATTGAGATACACAATACATTCGCTCGCTTTGACCTTAAAACAATCATTTGATACGAGCTGTCTGTACTTATATATGTTTGTAACGAAGCCAAATAGACGGGATAACATGAAAAACAAACAGCAAACTCTTTAGGTCAACCTCATACGGTTGTCCCTCAGTGCCCCAACCAACGCCACGTTTTGGTTGCCGAAAATGTAAACAGTGATTTCTGTTAATAGAATACGACCTGTTAGTGAAGTTTCGCGTAGAGTCGTCCGTAACGTAAAATACGTCCTGTTATGCTACCAATATAAGAATAGCATTGACAAAAATGCATTTTAGTTACAACAAGTAGACGCTCACGTCCTTCTCAGATACAACGAGAGTTATTAGAGGAGCTTATGAAGTTAGTTTTAGTTATACTGCCCTAGCCACCGGTTTGTCATGCAATATCGTTCTAGGCGACTTCAAAAAGAAAAATCGGTGTTTTGAATCAACGTTAAGGGACCCGCCGAGATCACCATAATGGCGCGGGTGAACGAAAAATCGAAAATCTTATTGCGAAAACTGCTCATTTTTAAGGACTAAGGATCCATTCGGTTTACTTAAAGGTCATTGTGGGTTGTGGCGACAAAAATTTCCGAGTCCTCTAGGAAACTGCACCATTAGCCAAGCAGAACGGACTTGGCGCTTATACCTAACCGTTTACGCCAAAACATTCGTATGAGAGAACAGAATAGCACCCCATTGAACAACGTGGCGTAACCATTCCGCATTTTTATATTCTTTGTGTCATCTTCAATGCGAAGACTTTAACGCTAAGATGCCTTTCACAACGTGGGAAGAGCGCGATACTTAATACCGAAATGAATGATGTCCCAATCATACGCAGTCATTGGAGAATGGCAAGTCCTTTTGAAGATAAACGTTGCACGCCACGTTAGTTGCTCCCGTACGCGCAGCTGTTGATCAAACTTCCGGTAGTCTTGCTTTAAACATCCACAATTACTGATTAAATTTTACAATTACGGAAGAGTATAGATTGTAAAGCCTTATATTAATTTCATATTGGTGCATGGAAAAGTCTATGTGAAATATTGGTACGTGATCACGAGTTTTAAGCCAGCCTTTTCTAGCGATAGGAACGCTATGTTATCGGCATGCAATATCCCCGACGACGTTCACCTTAACGTCCAATCCGCGTTATTGTAAATGGTCATGCAAAATAGCGACTGTTAAATGCGAACCCCCTGCAAATCTTTTTTATTTCTGTTTTCTCCAAACAGTTTCTATACGGTAACGTCATATACATATATATATCGGCATTACACCGAAGGACATACAATTTTAATTAAATTGCTCGTTATTTGTTTTAACCGTTTGGGACGATTTAAGCTGTTTCACTAGATACTTCCTTTTCAAATCTTAGATTGATATATAAGGCTGTGGTTTTGTGTACGCTGGGCAACAGTAGCATAGAGTTTCCTGTACCCCCACGAACTTTATCCTTGAACGCATCCTACTGTCGTCTACTCACCGACTCCCTTTCAGCTCAACCATGGTTATTTTGCATCATCTGCACATATAGAAAGTACCTTCTATATCATCTTCAATCGTCTCAGCTTCTGATTACGGTAATCACTTTATGGCTGAATCCTCAACGATGCATTAGGTGAACAACTTATCTCTGAATAACGACGATCTACCCAATGCTTTTTTTGTAATACAAACAAAGCTGGTTGCTGATGAAAAATGGGTTAACAAAGCTTTTCGAAGCTCTATATGTACAAAACGCTATTTCAGTGTAACCTCTTTGTTTCGAGTATTACGTCATTAGGCACTCCCTCAGACAGACGGACGACTGGCTGGCTCCCAGCACAAAACAAAATCTATCCACGCCCGGGTTAGAATTTAGACCACAACGTGTCCCTAAGATCAGCAGGCAAATATGCTCTCCACTAAGCCATCACCGGGACAGTTCAGTGTAATCTACCCCTACAGGGCAGTCCTCGTTGGTTCTTTTGACCAATCGTCATGGAAAAATCGAAAAATTCCTTTCAAATTTGCGCGCTTGAGGAATTTTACACATGGCATAATCGAAGTCATATTCTGTACGATGAATAAGTGTTCTATGATTAAAGAAAAAACAAATCTACCCGGATTCTGCGACGTGGGTCCATGCTCTATTAGAGCGTGCTGACTTTGTAAGCCCTGTTCGCTTGATTTTAAATATGCAGGTGTCTTGAATTACAAATACAATATCTGTCTTTAATCACTATTATTATTATTATTATTACTATGATTGTTACTATTTTTACAATATAATTTCTGCACGTTCCTGGAGAAAATTCATAGCATGTGCTGGTCTGTTACCGATGCCGTTTAGTACGTACGGTTAACGGAAGCAAGTCGACGAATGTGAGAAAATACCACGTGTTTAAAAATGCTAACTTTACTTAAAACGCAGGACGCCTTTAATCTACTAAGTCTCAATGAAGATCTCAAATTTCTCCTTTATTGACCGTTCATCCGCGATAGTGGGTTCATCTAGCGCCAAATTTCAAACAGAGTAAAGCGATCATACGCGAGCGCCAACCATCTGGAACCAAAAAAAAAGCCGTTCTGGTGGCATCGCCGCCGTAGGAAAGACCCCGCGTGTTTGCTGACGTTACGTATGTGATCATTATACGGTGAGACCTTATGTTAATAGCATTTTAACTGCTAGCTTGAGCGCCGTTGCTGAGAAAGTGCTTTATACGATGAAGGAACGACGAACGTTGTATGCTTTTGGGTAACTAGCGCGATGCTATGCTTTTCGCGTCGCTTCCACCGGGTGGAGAAGCACAGTGCATTGTGCAGCGATTCGGAAAAAAACCGCGTTACCGATGAGCCAAAGGAAACTGCCAATTTAACAGGTCAGGTGAAATAGCAACGTGCGAACGCAACGCGAACAGTTCCTCAAACAATAGATCTATTGTCCTTGGGTGTCTATTTACATAGGTGAGCTCATTAGTCTCTTCGGTTTAAACAATAGTTGTGCTAATTGATACTGAGGTGACAGACTTTATTAGACGTTAAATGTTGTGCTTGTTTATTTATTGACAGCGACAAGAAGCAGTCGTTTAAACTAGGTATATATTCAAACGATTATATATCTAGTATCTACATACATGTCGTGCATGTCGTCTGCAAAACACCTATTGTCATTTACTACAAATGGTATGCGGCAGAGTTTGTATTTATGATATTTGGCAGTTG